CGGATCTGGTTTCCAGACACGTCGACGCACTTTAGCCATGGGACACCTTCCCATGGCTACGACATCAGCTCCACCAGGGTCTTGCACTCTGCCAGCCCTGATGTTGGGAGGATCTCACCATGGTGGGCGGGAGTCATGTGCTGGTCCACCACATGCGGGGGCCCACCATACATTTAGCTCCTATTTTTATAATAAAAAAAGATGCTGATGGTACAGTGCAAGATATGCACAAACAACGTTCTGGGAGACCTCACACATCAACGGGTGAGGATAATACAGCTGTTGTGATGCAAGCAGTCACACGATCGCTAGTCCTGCTGCTGCTATCCCAGCAGAAATATGTGCACAAGCTAGTCGCTCTGTTGCTCACTGCTGTCAACAGTGCCTGGATGCTAACGGTGAACAATTTGAACATCTGTGGTAGTGAACCATGTGATGCAAACCATTGCTTCTCCGCATACAATAAAACAAAGTCCCTCTCTGAATTATTTAATATATATTTTTGATTTATAAAAGTGCGTAAACATTTTTTTGAGACACCCTGTAGAAATGCCGAACCGACACGTCCCGTGGGAAGTAATGCTCATTGTTTTCTTCGATGCTCGAGGCATTGTTCACCACAAATTTATTCCTCGGGGACAAACTGTCAATGCTGCGTTCTATAGGGACATTCTCTCACGGCTCATCGCTGTCGTGCGCCGAAGCCCAGAACTCTTCAGACAGCCCTCGTGGATCCTCCAGCACGACGATGCGCCGTGTCACACATCGATATTCGTCCGGGAAATCCTCACCAGCCATGGAAAAACACTGCCATCACGTCCTCCCTACTCCCCAGACTTAGTACCTTGTGATTCCATGTTGTTCTCAAGGATGAAAAGTCACCTGAAAGGTCACCGTTTCGAGGACACCGATGCCCTCCAGTCGGCTGCAACCAAAACGCTGATGGAAGTTGAAAAGAATGGGTTTCAGGAGGTCTTCAAGTCTCTCTACAAACGTTGAGAGAAGTGTTTGGAGAGTCAAGGAGAGTATTTTGAAGGCGATCACACGAAGACCTAAATTCGTTGAATAGGTAAGCTATACAATGTGCAGTTCTGGAACTTTTTGATGGGGGTCCTCGTTTATGAGAATTTTGACCTATACCCTGGTCAAAATTCTATGGAGTACCTTACTCAAAATGAGTCAATTATGGCCGTGTATAACTCCACAGCAGTAAGGTCGTCAAAGAAAAAAAACTATTCCCCCGATGATTTCGTACAATTTCCCTACTGTCCCTCCAATAGCTGCACGAATCCATACCGGATTTGATCCCTCCACTAGCTTTCGCATATTCGGCACATAAACCTGCGAGTGGCAGGAAAAAAAAAGAGTTTTTAAGGTAAAAACAATCCTAAAAGGATACATAACCTATCTCTAAAGTAATGTCTGATGAGGTAATGTGTAACCAAAAAGTATACCCTTAGATTTTCTTCTCTGTTGCGACGAAGTGAAAATCAGGCAAATGATAAACTTCTGGCCCTGCATCGTGTATGCAGCATGACACACACATCCGCTTCAAAATAAGAGAGGTGACCCTCCAAGTGTGCTTTATGATTATCCCTAGTCAGTATTCCGTCAAATGAGCAGACAAACATACCTCGTAGATCCATATACGAGGACCATGAAAAAAGTTCCGATACATATTTATTTCTGAAAATACCTGCTAAGCGTGAGGTACAAGCATGCGATCTCACTTAGAGTAGTCCCATTGGGTAGTTGCACACGTTTTCCCTCGGTCATATAATTGCGTGAAACAGGGTTGCAGGCCATTTTTTGCAACTACCTACAGTGATACCGTCGTGGTAACTTGCACCTCCTCGATGTCATGATCCTACATGTGTATCCACGCTACTGCACGGATTGCACGAGTCTAGAAACGATAGGCTACCAGACACAACAAGTTCACAGCCCATCCAAGCGTCTTTGCTCGGGAATCCCAAATAAATCTCCCTCCCGTTCCAGTCCACCTGTAAACTGATTTTAACCCGAATAAGAAAAAAAGTCAAACTTTCTTTGGGAGACTACTTTTGGCTCTCACGGTCACTGAGGACACTCGATCAAGATTCTGTCTTCACCACTAGGGTTTTTCATCGTCCCAGATCCAGAGATGGGAGTGGGGAATGCTGGGAGTCTCGGGTGTCTCCCCAAACTCGCCAGGGTCTGCACCAGGAAATAAATGCCTCATTCCCTCAGTTTCTCACCTGGGTCTCCGGCAGTCACGGCAGACAAGTGAGCTAGCAATCTAGCAACTCACCTTCTATAACCTTTGCGACCGTAAATCACTCTTAGTTCTCTTAGTTTTAATCTAAATGAGATCAAAAGGAGACTTGGGAGCTTTTTGGGACTTCGAGTTTCCCATCGATGCCTGTTTCGCTTGGGACCGGTCAGCCCGAGAGGAGTTCCCTTATTAAGGAGGGTTAATTTTGAAACATGCTGAGGAAAATATGAAATCTCCTCTCCAATTCAATTCAAGACTATGCTGAATTCTCAAGGCTCAGATATGCTCAAGCGCACGTGGGTGATTCCTACACATATTGTGATATTCCTGAGATGTCACAATCTGACCTGTTCTAGGGTCTTTATGGGACATCTCAGAAATCTACAGTCGGACAGTTTCCGAAATCTCGAAAGGGACGTCTTCAGGACATCTTCAGTCTGATTAGTATCGATATCCCGAAAGGGATATGTTTAAGATATCCCTTCTGAAATATTCAAAGCTTTCGAAGATGCTTTCAGGATGTCCAATGAAGACTGAGGGGCATTACCATTTACTATAATTTTACCATTATTCACCAATGGGTTTGACTGGGAAGTCCTAGAAGGTGAAGTAGAGACACCAAAAAAAGATAAGGGTCGTCCTACACGGCAAAAAATTAATCGTTTCAGAAAGAAAGGGGCATCTTTGGGATGTCTATGCACCATGTCATTTTGATATCGCAGAGATGTCCTTAGTACAGTTGACTCCGCATAATGGAGCAAATTAACTCGATAATACGGAGTATTCCAATAGCCGAAACTATCACACTACTTCTTCGCACTGCAGGCGATTTTTTTAAAATGATATAGTACAATACCCATTTTACGCATTTGCCATTAATAAAAATGCTTTATGCACATTTTTTCGCACTCGTAGTATTTTTCTGTCCAACTTCTAATTTTCCTCAGTTTTTGTCCATTCGTATTTTTAGATTTCTTCTGTACACACTGAATTTTTGTCTGCTTTTTCAAAAAATATATGTTAAAATTGGATTCACTCATTTCTAGTGCACTGTTCATAATTTGTCGATGTTATTTTTCCGTTATTCGTTTCGTTCTGATGGGCATTCCACATTGCAATATTTTAGGTCAAACTGAGGACTTTCCTTTTCCCCATGTCAAATTCGAATGAGCAGATCTGTTGATTAGAGGTTCAATTTGATTGCCCAGGTGAACTTGCTTCCACATTCACTGGAAAAAAATACACTTTGCCTGATTTTCACATCTCCAGCCTACAGGTACATTTGCACTCCAATTTCTAGGAAAGAGCTTGCTTGCATTCCCTCCTGCCTCCACCAGGGGAAAGGGTTCAGGGGAAAGTCAATGGGCAGCTTCTCATGATCTTGGTTCCATGGGGCGAGGGTGGGGTTGGGGGAAGGTCCAGTTGGAACTCTTTGAGAACATGGAAAAGGCAAATTAAACCATTTTTTCAGCTATGAAAAAAAAACTTTTTTTTCTTCTTTGAAAAGTGTCTTTTAAGGAGGTTTTTCTAAAATCCATATTCCTTTATACGATGTTTTTAATAAATTATCTTATACTAAAAAAAAATCTGGACCACGCAATAGTATTCTACGTATTATGAGGAGTATTCCATTAAACGGTATTACAAATAACGGAGCTGACTAGTTATCTCTGGGACTCCTCACTTCTAGTCCCAAAGGTATCCCAGGGATATCCCTGGGACATAGAGAACTTGAGCAGTGTGCAGTGGCGTAGCTACCGAATGTGCAGGCGGTGCGACTGCACCAGGGCTCATGGGCCAGAGGGGCCCAGACGCCGAGCTATGAAGAAGGGTGGGGAGGCAGCGGAGAGGGGGGGAAGGTGAGGCGTTTGTTGGGAGCCCCTTGGCATCGAGCCACTTCGTGTGGTTAAATGAAGTAGTCGCCACTTCCAATACCATTCACCAGGGCTGGATCAAGGGGGGGGGGGGGGCTGTTGCCCCGGGCCCCACTTTCCCAGGGGGCCCTCGAAGGAAATTTGACACGTTAAATATTTGCATAAAGTAGCAGGGACTGCCTCTCCTCTGACCAAGTTCGCAGTCTATTTTTTAAATGTAGAAAGCACATAAGTTAATGTTTATTAGCTCCTGTGAAATAGATATTCAGGGTTTCTACCCCAGACAAAAAATGAATAAGGCGATAGGACAGAGGTGGTGGTAGATGGGGGGGGGGGGCCTATGAAAAATCTGTATCCGCCGCTGCCTTCAGCTACCGACGATTTATATGCTGCCGGAGAAACTCTATAAATAAAAAAAATAAAAAAATATATATATGACTCCCGTATAATTCAATAGTAAGAAATTGGACAGCGGGCCCCGTTTCATTCCTTGCACCAGGGCCGATGCCAACCACGCTACACCACTGGCAGTGTGGGTTGTAAGATGAAGCATTGAGACCATAATAAAAAAAGGGTTTTCGATAATTGCATTAAAAAATCATTTTGTGAAATCCATGTTATTTTTTTAATTCAAAATTTATTGGAAGCTTCAGAAATTGAAAGTCTTTCAGTATACAGTATATGCTAGGTTTATGCGAGCTTTCTGTACTGATGCCATTCGTTAACTGGAAGAATTGATTCAAAGAACCTTGCATCCCCCCAATCAGGACACAAGGAAGTAGTGGGAATATATCGTACCACAGACTAGTGGGACCTCAAAAGATAAGAGTTCTCTGCATCAATCCTTTCATTTGGTCAATGATGTCATCCATAACTCAAAACAGCAAGTTTTTCGCCCACACCTGAATCACCAAAAATAATGAAAGTTCAAAATGTGGGGGTGATTCTTGCAAGATTTCAAGCAAATGTTCATGAGTAACCACAAGCTAAGTAACTCTAAGAAGTTCTACAAAGATGTGAAAATCGAACTTCTACCAGTTTATATAATTAACAGCATGGAAAGCAACTACAACATATACAATTTCTTATTGACTGCTAAGCAATCTTGAATTAATATTTTCAGCAAATATGCACAACAGTACATATTTGTACATACACATGTACCCTAAGTTGTTTCATGATAACTGACCTTTCATGAATGGCATGCAATGCTGAGAATACCAACATCTGCTATAAAATACTGCAACATTGAAAATATCCCACTATTTAACATATTGAGTTTAAAGAATTTACTTGAAAATTGGTACAAGTCTGATGTGCATTGGACCTGCATTGCAAATGAAATGGCTTCTGGGTGCATAGAACTTCAGTAAAAACAGCTTACTATCCAGTGGAGATTAATTTTTATTCTCAAAACAATACTCTTCCTACAGACGGTCTCCGAACAACACTTGCATCAACAGGTGGGCCTATGAAATGCCACATGTGACATGCAAGAACCTTTATTCTTTGGGAACTTTTGCTTCTTTCAACATGGTACAAGCTGTACACAGATGGAAAAGCAGGATTCTGGGAGAGGAATATCAGTATGTAAAAGGTTAAAAAAAAAAGGTGAAAATCAATCAAGCACTAGTACCTACTCCCAACCTAGCCCATGCTTCCCCTACCACTTCAACAGGGATTTCATAGCAGTCCCCAAGTTGGTTCATGTCAACACCTTCCAGGATGATGGTCTCTCCATCACCCATGTGCTCAGAAACAGAGATGAGCTGATATTCCTGCATGGCATTCTCCCTAGTTTGAGATGTCTTCGCAGGCACTGGTTCAACTACCTCATCACACATAATAATGGTTTGGGTGCCATCAAATGAAAAGCCCCCTTCAGGGTCTTGGACAAATATCACATTTTCTGATGATATGGAGCTCTCCTTTGGAGAGACATTCACAGGCAGTACAGGGGTAGAACGAATTCGACTGCGTCGATTCACTCGTTTCTTTCTACTCCCTTTTTTCTCCTCCTTCATCACAGGGACCAAATCTGGACAAACTTCCACTACTTCTTGTTGAAGGGCCATGGCAATGCGAACCTCCTTCTTCTCCAAGGATTCCTGCTTTCGTCTCTCAACAGAGGACACCTTGGATTGGTCTCGAAGGGTGGCATACTCCTCTTCTGGCATGATGATGATGCGACCATCAGGTGTCAATAGCTTCCCATGTCTTGTCCTCATGTGTCTCTTATACGTGTTGCGTGTCTTGAATCTAAATACATGGAAATGCAGAGGAAAGTCATTAGACCATTGATTAAGAACATGAAAAAGTCTAGGATTTCTTGTATCTCAGGATAATGCTTGATGGCATAATGATGCAAGCAATGTGAACTGATACCAATGAATTCACATCATAATTCAATGCTTCAACTAAATTGGATGCATCTCAAAGCATGAGATTTACCACTATGATTGAGCAACAGTTCCTCAACATTTAAGAAGAAAGCCTAACTTTCAGTCTCAGGATTGAAAAATGTGAAATATAGGGATACATTTTATTTCATCACTTCTGCCTTGAATGCTTCATGATTATTATAGCAAATATGAAGCAGCATCTCCTTGCTGCAATGTGAATTGTGTGTTGGCAGGACTAAGAAACTTTGCCTTATGCTAGATGGTGGAGATTAAACACATGGCTTAGTCTAGGGTTGGGCTAACCGTCTCTTAAATGCACATGAATGACAACAAGTATACTGGGCCAGGTAGTTAAGGCCACCTAGGCATGAATGTGATTGACCAGCAATAAAATTCCTTGAATTCAAGCAAGGTTCATCCACCTCACATGAAACAGTCACAAAAGAAAGCAAACAAGATGCAAAAGCAGTGCAGCATTCTGGTTGCAGTGAGAGAAAAAAAAAAGAATTTCACTTCCAGCAGCTGAGAAATGAACAGGCCCATACTTCAAGAACTTAGGGAAAAATTTCTGTGCATCCCAATGCTCCTGAACTTAAGGATTAGGGATTCTTCTCTCATTGTTCTTGTGATGCTTAGGAAAATGTGCAAAGAAACTTGAAAGAAAAAAAACTAAAAAACAGGATACTCTTTGCTTGGGAATGTATAGTAGAGAAAAAAAAGACTTATGATAAATTCCCATTTAAAATCTGGGGATTTTAGATTTTGATTCCCAAAAACTACTGATCTGGCATGCTTTCAGACCTTATTTGGCAATACATGGAGGCATTCTTCCACTACTCTATCCTTGCAAGCAGTGAGTGAGGCATTTTGGTGGGGAACGATAACAAATCTCTCTATTTGATAATTTTTCATAAATGATAATCTGATCCATATCCTAAACATAGTGTGAGTATACTTTCTGAATGATACCACTATGTATAGCAGAAGACAAAACTGGAAGAGTGCAACCTGAGAAAGCAATCAGAGCATTCAAATGGAGACTCTCCAGTGTGCCTTCTGAGATGTTCCTTGAAGTGAGCAGGGTGACGAAACTTCCTCCCACACTCTGAACATTGGAATCTGGATACATTTTCATGGATCTGCATGTGGTAGTTGAGGCTATGCATCCTTGTGAATGCTGAACCGCATATTCGACAAACAAATGGTTTGATGCCTACAGAGGAAATAGAATGAGAACATGCAACTTATACTACTGGAAGCAACATATTATAAATAGCCTACGAACAACCCTATCTTATAAAAAATATACTTCCCATATTCTGTCCCTGTTCTTAGAAGATCCATATGTAATTTCATTTCAATCAAATAACCTTATAACTCTAAAATGAGAGGAAACAAATTTGAATATATTTTCTCATAACCATGGCACTTTTGATGGTTCAGTTTCAAGAGTAGAGATCCCTATCAACAACTAAGTTGCCATATTAAATTTTTTTTTTTAATAATAGCATACTTTTACCACATCTACTTAAGTCACAACAGACCCCATAAATTACTGTTAAAAACTGTTGATAATGGGTATTGTATATCTATGATGGGTTACAGTTAAGTGGACCAAAATGAAAACAAAAGGTTTATAATAATAATAATAATAATAAAACACATGATAAATATCAGCTTCCTGATTTTCTCTAGTTTTCTTAAGCTCATCTTGTTTTTTTTGTCAAAAACAAATCAAAGACTACCATGACTTTTTTGCTCTGCAGCACTACAAAACTTTCTTATTAGCACATGATTTACATATCACCTGACAACATACAGTACCCCTAACACCTATAATATTAGTCTCAATGAAGAATAACTCTGAAGGAAAGAACAATTCAAAATACTTTTACCCTCAACAGTTAAAAAGTAACATATTCAAGCCCTTCTTTGGTTCATTGGTTATTACTCCAAGAGGGTAATGCATGTGGGAATGATCTCTAGTTCATAAAAAGGAAAGAACAATTCAAAATACTTTTACCCTCAACAGTTAAAAAGTAACATATTCAAGCCCTTCTTTGGTTCATTGGTTATTACTCCAAGAGGGTAATGCATGTGGGAATGATCTCTAGTTCATAAGAGGAAAAATGGTTGCCCAACATGGCTGCAAAATACTGTTTCTACTCTAGATGTAGAAAAAATTAGATACTATAAAGATGAAATTTTCCATTTTTAGTATATCCTTAAATCACTTCACTAAATTTAAAAGAACTCAATCTCAACTCCAAATCTGCACCTGCTAGAGAAGCTAAGGGGAGATTGAAAATTTTACCATACAAACTTCCTTATATTTTAAAATGAGTGACAATTAATCATGCTGCATGAATGAGAGACCTGCATGACTCCTGAGGTGGCCCATTAAGGACATGAGTGCAGTGAAAGTCTTGACAGGACTGCATATGGCACATTGGTACTTGGATTGGCCCTTCCCTCGAGGTGGTGCACTTTTGAGTTTTGAAAGCATCATTAAGGCTTGTTGCTGATGGGAAAAAGGAAGAAATCATCAGTGTACAGAAGACAGTCACAATGACAGGAGAATGAAAATATGAACAAGTACAGAAAAACCAAACAAACAACATTGCTGGAGACTAGTTTAACTGACATTAAATCTGAACCAAAAATGTGACTAAAGATGGTCACACAGTTACATACAGATGTGCCATTTAGAAATTGGCTGAATATTCAAATATTTTGATTCAGGGAATTCTTTTGAATCTGGAAAAAAGTAATACTATTTCTTCTGTTCTGACAACAAAAATGTATAGCTAAAAGCCCAAAACCCGTCACATTACAACTATATGATCAACATTGCAAAAGAATGAGGACAATTAACATACTTTTTGAAAAGACCTGTCATGAATCAAATTTCGATTGTTTTTCAAATGTAGTTCACACAAATCGTCATGCCCACACAACACATGAGCATAAGCTCAACGTGTTAACAGGTCAGAATTTGTCTCTCTTACCTTACATGTGATATTTTTAAGAGTCCAGGAACTTTTCAGCCCACCCTTTCATAGTGCCTTCAGGAAAAGCAGTGGCACCTTACCTTCTCTTCTGAATCACCGCTGTCTCTGCTTGTGTCTGCCTTGTTCCTCACAGGATACAAATGGTCGCACTGGTCCAAACTCACGACTGGAAGGTCTCCTGGATTACCATGGATGTTTGGAAGATATATTAAAGCAAGGAAGAAAAAATCAAGTTAACATGAGTATACAGG